TACTCGTCTCTGTACTTTCCTCCCGCCAGCGCGCCGAGCAAGCCCTGCAGACCAAAGTACGGTGTGCATGCAGGCCATGTGCGCTTGCTTTGAACTGTGCCGTGGGATGCGACCTTAATTGTATCTTTTTGCGATTTGCGACGGCTGCCCAAAAGACTGCCAGCGCGGCGCATCGCGTGGTGTCGCATCGCATGGCAGCGCAATGCAAACCCTGGTAGTCCTCGCGCACACGGCATCAGAAAGATTTGCAGCTGATGCCTTTCTTTTTCTTTTTCTTTCCACCTCTCTCTTCCAGCATTGGAGTACAGTAGATACTTTGACAGAACATGCTAGTCATTCATGACGACTAGGTTTCGGCCGCTGCCAGGCAGCCAGCCAGCTGGCCATCCACATTTTGGATGCGCCCGGGACGATCGGCGCTCGATCGCATCTGGACCATCCGTTGCGAAACCTGCGAAAATCCACACGCCTGCGCGAGGATGAACGGCTGTGAAGGAGGAACTTCCTTTCCACACCTTGCGGCGCATAAACAGTGTATGTTCGAACTTCTGCGATCCTTGGTTTCTCCGTGACGAAGCTTCGATGCGCATCGCACATCGGGGCTTCGTGTTGCACAGTGCCAGCGCAATTCCCCCGTCTTGCGACTGGCGTCAGACAGCGACAAGGGTCGCATCCATCGCCGGACAGTCTCGATCGTTCAAGCGCGTACGGTGCAGGTGCAGCATGGCCAGCATGGCTGATCTGACATGGGAGCGCGTAGTTGAGCCAAGTCGATGGAGAGACAGACGGACGGACAGACAGGCACCTTGCTGTCCTGAGAGATGAGAGAGCCGCGTACCCATGCGAAACGACTGATCTCTTTCCGCAGACTTGCGCACAACATGTCCAAGGTCCGCTCACGAAAGACGGGGCGTTAATGTGGTCCCCGACGCTTCGAGACGACCTTAGCGCAGCTTGCGTGGCGGTTCTGGTGAGGGGGTGATGCCATCCTCATGCAGACTATCGATTGCCAGTCCTTGCCTCAGCCAATTTGCAGGTCAGCTTGTGGACGAGCGACAACACTCACACTCTCGCGCGCACACCACAATGAAACATGGCAGCTCGTCCGTTATGCGGTGCGGATGCGCGCGACCATGGACCTGAGATGCCTTGCTCTCACGTCACAGAGGTGCAGCCCGAGTCAAAACAAACAACACGCTCTGCGTCAGGGCGGTGCAACAGCACCATGCGACTGGCTGCCGTTGGCGGTCTCAAAAAAGCCGACCGCTGTTCCTGTCCAACCCCCCGACGACTCCGGCAACGTGAGCAGGCAGCGCGTACTGTGTTGCTAATCCAGCCTGCTACCCTTCTGAACACCAAAAAACAAGCCCTAGCGACGGCGACAGCTTGTGCACCATGCTTGAGTGAGCCGGAATATACGAATGAACGGGAATTGCGATGGGCCAGCGCGCGCGCCGACTCATCTCTTGCGACGTCGTCGTACCAGCCGATATGGAAGTGGACGCTCGTGAAATATATAGCAGTTTTGGAGGGGAAATGGGGTCAGGTGACCTCGCGAGACTCTCGTGCCGGGCCCAGCATAACAACGCGAAAACAGCTGGAAATATGGTCAGCCAAGACTACGGGCTCCGAGTAGACTCATCATTCGAAAAAGCTCTATCAAATCTTTGACAATGTCTTTTTCACAGTTTTGCAAACTCGCAAAATACCAGTCAGAATCGAATCTGGTAGCTGTTCGGCCGTATCGCCCTAGATGTTGTCCTTTATGATGTTATGAGGGAGACGCGACAGCCTCAACAGTCTTCCATTTTCGTACTAGTGTCATCACACATAGATGACATGGAAAGGGTCCGTGCAGCCACAAACACAGACCCCAATCCCAAGCCACACAAACATCAAAGCCACTACTTCACAAGATCCAATGGTCACGTGCTCAGACTTTGTCGTTTCTCATGCCACCTAGGTAGCCAATAAGTTGTGCCCCTCCCAAAAAAACGGGCACGCCCTCGTTCTGCAAATATGATGTGTCTTCCCCTGACCAGAAAAAGAAAGAGATGTCTTCCGATCGGGGAATTGAACCCCGGTCCCCGGCGGAGTCTGCTTTGAAGAGCGATGACAAGCCGATATCCTAACCACTAGACTAATCGGAATGAAGAATCGTTTATCCGATTGGTGATGGCCGCGCTCACCGTCAGCTCCATATTGCGTGAATGAGTGGCGATTGTCAAAATGTCATGACCCACAATAGAAACGAGGTGTCGACAGCAAGCCCGCGAGTATAAGACGTGTAAATGGTCGGATCAGCAACCCTTTGTAACGCCATCTCGACCCTGCGTTTTAGGCTCGAAGAGATATAGAGTCGCAAGACTTTTGTCACTGATTCTTCACTGAATACGGATCTAGTTGGCTCACGTCTTGGTTCAAAATGGATTCCAACCTACAATACTGCAGTATGCGATAGCTTGGCTGTCAAGGGAGATTCTTCCTAATTAGCAATGTCCGGCCCCTTCGGGAGATGTACAACACGCTGATACACGTGGAGAACAGACATGTGGGGGGGTTTTTTTTTTTGTGAAATGCATTCAAGTTCGCATCCGAGACAGCCATTTGGCTTGCAACGGTCTGCAGAGGGTGAGGATCATACTGATCTCGATACCAAAATTTGCATGTGTTGGGAAAATAGATGAGGCTTTTCTTGCTGGCTCCCATCCGAACAAGGCCAAAAGCGCATCACATCGGCAATCTATGTAGCGTAAATAAGCTAACACAGCGTACGAATGTTGAAGCAGCCGCTTACTCTCCTTTCATCGACAACACAGCTGCCAGCTTCGAGGCGTGCCGTGCGGTCCATTGGGATTGTTGGGAAAGCTTCCGATGAGCTACTCCCCGGATGGATATGCGGGCGTGCCTGTCTCCTGGCTGGTCCAACGAATAAGCCAACACAAGCTTCTCGGCAGTACTTCTATGCGTGTGCCGCGTCGCATATCGGCATGTCTGCGTCTCATTTTCGGTAGGAGTCAGTGGCTGTCTGGAGCCTTGTTAATGGCAGCTGGCTGGCAGGCTCTAGAGCTCCGGAATGACGACGGACGCTACGGCTTCCCTTGGGATCGCCGGGGCGACAGGGGTCCACATGGTCGTCCAATCCGGAGCGCGTCTGTTAGAGCTCCAAGCACGTGCGACCGCGTCAGTGGTCAGTTCCTGGCTAGACAGGTCTCCACCAAACTCTGGATCCTGGAGAAGCTCCTATGCCTGCCAGGTCCCATGGTAAACAAACAAATCTCACCTTCCACCGTCGCACCTCTTAAAAAGGCACTAGCCGTATAACAACCACATTCCTAGAGGAGGCAGCACACACTTCTTGCCCCATGGTTCGGTTCTTTCCCTTCGTCTTATCCATATCCTTCCCTCCTCCAACTCCCCTACCAAGCCAAACGCCCACCTGGTAATTACCGGCTGTCATCATAGTCGCCCCTTTCGCGGCAAGCCAGGCCTGAACCACGACGACGTCGACAACCTCGCAGCCAACCCATCCATCTCCCTTCCAATCGGCCGTTCACCTCTTTTCTCGACAAGGCAGCCTTTGA